AGGAGACAGCAATGCAGCATGCATGCCTTTTTTAATCCATTCCATTTTTTAAAAAAATAAAACAGGGTCTCATGGAGCCAAGATTGGCCTTGAACTCCTGATGCTTCTGCCTCCGCCTCCCAAGTACTGAGATCACAGATGCTCTATCACTGCTACTCCAGGCCTTCGAAACAGGAGCCATTTTGTGGCATGCTCCTCTTTCCTACCACCACGGGGCCAGAGAGATGTCACCAAAACTCAAAGCAACAGTCTTGTGTGCCAGCTGAGGTGGCTTGTCCTCAGCTGGACAGATGAATGAGCAATAAGCATCATGGGGCCTGTTACAGAAAGTCACCCAGTATCTCGAGAACTCACGTCAGCAGGGGACAGTCGTCTTCAAGATGCCTTCAGGCCCCCATGAGCCAGCTTGGAAGCACTCATTTTCAAAAAGATAGTGTTGGTGTATGCTGGACCACACCACGACTGTCCTGCTGGCCCTGGGTCTGAGGGCTCTGTGCCCCCAGCTCTGCTAGAGACTGCTGGCATCTCACTTCCAGGTAAGGGTTAGACAGGATTTACTCTTGCAGTAAATCCTGTGAGTGAGGCTTTAGTGGGCGGAGACTCTCACACTTGGGATGGACAAGGGTGACAGCTGTTCTGTCAGCTCTAACGGCTTTGCTGGCTTTTGCTAAGTTCAGTCACCACCTCTCCCTGAAGCCTCTCTGCCCCAAACCTCCTTGTTCCTTCCCATGGCCCTCATTCTTTCCCAAAGCATTTGCAACAGGACAGGGCTGGGGAGGTGGTTCAGCCAGTAAAGAGCTTGTCACAAATTCCATCCTAAATACCACTGACCTTCGATCTCAGGTGGTGAGGCAGAGGCAGTTCTGAGGGACTAGTCTAGCCAAATCTGGGTTTACTGTGAGACCCTGCCAAAGAATAAGGCATAGAGCGGTTGAGGAAGGTACCTTGAGGTGGACCTCTGGCCTCCACACACATGCTCACAAAGACATCATGTGGGTTTTTGAGTTTTCAGGACAGGAGGGTCCAACTCTGTCGATCACTTACAGAGATCCACCTGCCTCTGCCTTCCAAGTGCTTTCAAATACCATAGACTATTTGAAAACATGAGAGTTGCCCTGGAGTGCTGTCACGAATGAGTCAGAGGGAAGGATGAGGCTCATAAATACTCAAGCCTGAATTGTCTGTTGTGAGCCATGCCTTTCCAGACTTTCCTTCTGGCCCCACCCCGTTAATACAATGGGCACTTTTATTTGTGGGGGAGGGGCACGTGCCATGGTGCAGACATGGGGGTCAGAGGACTTGCCTGCCTGTGGGTCTCCAGGGATCAAACTTAGACCATCAGGTTTGGTGGCAAGTGCCTTTACTTGCTGAGCCATCTTGCTGGTGCCTTTTAAAAATACATTACACTATGTTCTCTTTTTGCCTTCATATGGGTTGCTGGGATTGAACTCAGGTTTGTCAGCCTTACAGGGCAAGCACCTTTGAGCCAGAGGGGAACGTTTTATAGGAGCCAGGCCTCTAATCCAGTGAGCCACAGGCCTGTGCCTTCAGGAGCCTGGATTTCTTTATTTTCCAAGGAGGATATGGATATGCCTGGCCACTGTTGCCTTCCAGTCAGGAACTCAGATCTTGCAGTCTTGCTGGAGGGAGTCTGAAATGAGGTCCTCCGTGAGGCTGTCCTTGACCGATAGCTGTCAGGCTTTTTGACCCTTGACTCACTTAAGACAGTGGTTCTCAATCTTCCTCATGCTGCAACCCTTTAAATACAGTTCCCCATATTGTGGTGACACCGAACCATAAAATTATTTCATTGCTATTTCATAACTATAATCTTGTTACTGTTATAAATCATAATGTAAATAGGCAGGGTATTTGATATGTGGCCCCTAAAGGGGTTGCAACCCACAGGTTGAGATCAGCCAACTTAAGGAGTGTTAAGGACCTGTGACTAGGTGTCTGATAACACAAACTAGATCAGAGTTGTAGGGATCAAGACGAACCCGGGGTGGGTGCCTTGGCTTGCTGTTGGCTTTTTCTTGCATGCCTTTGTGTTCTATTTAACAGCTAGGAGGAACTATCAAGCTACAAGCCCACCAGAGGCAATGGAAGACATTCCCTCCGTCTCTGCCTGGAGAACCCCCTTGGACGATGGGACCACTTGCATCTGGCAGGCGAAGGCCATCAGGATACTTACTGAGGACACAGCAAGGAAATGGCAGAGCCAGGATTCACTGACTCCAAGGTCAGTGACATTTCTGTAACAATAGTGGCGGTATTCATCTTTAGTATATAGGAAACCTAGTTCATCTTTTAATGTGTAAGTTTTAACCTGCATATATGTATGCATGTGTACCACGCAAATGCTGGTGCCCACAGAGGCCAGAAGAGACAGTCAGGTCCCTAGGAACTAGAGTCATAGGTGATTAGAAGCTGCCCAACATGGGTTCTGGGAACTGAACACCTCTTCAGCCCCCTAGTGTAATACTGAATTGCCATCACCTGATCCAGAGGTGTGTGGGAGCAGGTGCCTGACCCACGGGAGGATGGGTCACTTCCATTTACTTCCAGTTGGCAAGAGTAAAATGGCCAGGATCCTCAGTTGCTGTTCAGTCTGTTGCACTACCACCAATTCAAGCTTTAGATAGGGCACAGTCAAGTCCCTTTCACAGTCATCTGCTTTCTGGGTGACAATGGTAAGACCTCTCTCGGCCTGCCGCTTCTCTGCTTAGGGCTAGTGTTAGAGGGAAAGCCCCTGCTGCTGGGGTGTCATGGTCTTTGGCACATTGTCCCTCCTTCACTTCCAAGGCAACTGCAGAAGCCCAGCCTGAGGACTAGCTGAGTTGGCCGTCAGTACAGTGAGCTGACCATGGTGCATTGTTAGCTCCAGGAAGTGGTTAGCTATTTTCCAGCAGGTCTGCAGAGCCGGACAGCCAGCCTGCCTTGGAATTGGCGGATGGGAGTCGAGAACACTGCTTTCCTGGAGCCCTTGGGCTCTGGGCCAGGCCCTCAGGCTTCCTTTAGAAGAAGGAGCCCTGATTGAGTGAGCAAGCCATTCTTGCCCAGCTTGGCACACGTCTTCTCTGTCTACCTCATGCCCTTCTCTCCACCCAAGCCTCTTTGCAGCAGAGTGCACATTATTGGCTATGGCATCCATGAATCCTGCTTTCCAGAGGGCAGGAGGGCTGTGCACACCAACACCTCAGTAGAGGAATTGCACCACATGGGCTCCAGCCTGGGTAGTGGGGCTGAGAGGAAGCCCTCAGCTGCCCTGTCGGACCTGGGCTACAAACTCCTGCCACGGTGGAACTAAGAGCTCTGAGCACAGGGCAGCCTTGGGAAGGCTTGCATCCTCTCGGGGCCTGTTGCCCATTTGATAGCTGTAGGAGTGCTCTGTAGACTGTCTATGTTGCATATAGAGCTGACACTGTTGCTGCCTGCCTTTTCCCTTCCAGGAGGACACTTGAGCCGGAACACTGGTCCCTTGGAGAGTAGTTGCACTGCCTGACACTGAGGTCACATGTGGGTCTTCACATGATGGCTGGTGTCTTCTGCCATTGATCCTGCAAGATTATCTTTCCTGACAGTTCTTCTCTGGCCAGTGGCTCTAGATTGAGCTGTAGTCCTTGTCTCTGTCCTAGATCCCTGAGGGTTGGGTCACCAAAGCCCAGCATGTAAGGAGGTCTCCTTCCCCTGGGAGTTTCAAGTTCAGGCAGCTGCAGGGCTCTGCTTTAGGCTGGGGCCTCTGCACAGCTCCCCCTTGCCCTGCCAGATGTCTTGGGGTCAGCTACCCTGCAGCGTTCTGGTGTACCTGACTACTAGAAAAGCAATACTCCCCTGTCACCCTATTTTTTTTTTGTCCTGGAGTTTGGACTCGGGCTTTCAACATACTATGCAAGTGCTCTATCACTGAGCTATATGCCCAGCCCTTTTTTGATTTGAGACAGAATCTTGCTATGTAGTCCAGCTTGGGCTTGAACTCATAATCCTTTTGCCTCCATCTCCCGAGCCCTAGCATTATAGCTGTGCACCACCATGCCCACCTGGATTTCCTGTTTTGACTCCTGTGTCAGGAAAGCAACCCTGGATGGAAGTGAGGCCCATTCCTGATGGCTTGGCCATTGCAGGGCTGTCTAGGAGGAATGCGTAATAGCACAGTGCACAGGATAGGTAGAAGGACGGGTAGCTGTCAGTTTTCCATGGACCTTGTTTCTGTTGATATATTGTTCCTTCAAAGGTCACCCTTTAATTAATCTGTGTCACCAGAGTTCAAGCAGGGGCAGCCACATCCCCTGGCTTTAGAGGAAGGCATGTGTTCCAGGCCTGGGCAAAGACTGCTGAATCCCCCCTCACATCCCCGTGGGACTTCAGCTGCGTCTTTTCATGGGAGTTAAGTTGACAAGATGTCAGCTTGAAATTGCTGGTGGCCAACTTATGCAGCTAAGGATGAAGCCAACAAAGAAGAAAGAAAACACAGATTACGCTGTGTGGACTTGTTCTTGCTACTCAACAAGCCCCTGGATTGAGCCATGCCTGAAGCCAACACTTGGACTAACCTGAATACATGAGCCATTTTTTTTTTTTTCCTCTAAAAGAAACCCATCTTGGATTTGTGTGACAGAATGGCTCCTAGTACAGGCAATGGTTTTCTACCTTTCTCAGAACAGCATTGTTGAGATATTATTTATGTGCAACGAAATTCACCAGTTTTAAGTATACAGTTTCTAGTCTTTTCAGGAACACATACCCATGTAACCATCAGCATTAGACTGGAATCTTACCTGCCCTGAAAAACTCTATCCACCCCCTTGATGGTTAGTCTTTTCTGGTGGTCACACAGTATATGTTAAGTGTCTAGTTTCTCTTAGTGTGTTTTTATGATTAATTCCTCCATGTACATTAGGGTCCATCTACTCCATTGTAGGCTGGACAGCATGACACCCTGTGGGTATTCCACCATTTGTTTATCCATCTGGTATACGATGGCTGATTTTGGTTGGTGTGAATAAAGCTGTTTTGCATGCTCAAATGTCATGTCATGGGTGTATGTTTGCATGTGGACAGCAGGTTCACTCTCCAGTTGAGGAAATGGGTTTGTGAAGGTAGAAGTACTTGTCCGGGGTCACACAACTGGTGCAGGGAACCCAGGGAGGGGTGGTGATGCTGTTGAAGGGCTCTAAAGGGGCTCAGGACCACATGGAGAAGCAGCTCACAGTCTCCTGGTACACAACCACATGGCTGCCAAGAGGAACTGCCAAATGAGCTAGAGCCCGATCTTCACCTGTCACTGGGAAGCTCAGTGTGATTCATTAGTCTCACTGTGAATCCCAGGTCCCAGGGGATGGGAGGTGAACTCTGATTGGATAGATATCCAGAGCCAGAATCGTTTCCCTCCACGGGATTCACAGAGCTCCACCCAAGCTACCCAAGCTCCCAACCCCACCAACTCCCCTCTGAGCCATAGGGAAAAAGACTGGTGCTGCTATTATTCCAGCCACAAACACAAAAACAAAAACCTTTTCCTTTTGGCTGACATCAACAGGTCACAGGTTCCTCCTGCACATCTAGAGGTCAGGCTAATTAATCATTCCAGCTTTGACCCCTTATAGCTGTCACAGCCACAACTCTCTTTTGGTCTCTGCCTAGCTAATCCCTTGGAGTGAAGGAGGTTGTGTCCCTAATCTGTAAACTCACTTGGGTATCTTCTGTGAGATCCTTGTGTCCAACAGTGCCCAAAGTAAAGATCTTTCAGGGTTGTTTGTTTGAGACAGGGTCTCACTATGTAGCTCTGGTTGGTCTGGAACTCACTATGTAGACCAGGCTAGCTTTGAACTCACAGAGATCCTCTTGCCTTTGCCCCTGAGTGCTTGATTTAAAGACATTCACTGTCAGGACCCATTGACCTTTCAGTTTTGTGAGCCAGTTCATCTTCACTTGAGCTAGATTGCCCCTGGGAGAGTCCTGGTTAACGACTCTGGTGCCCTATGGCAACACATGCAGAGACCCATAGGCAAAACCCATGGCTAGCCTACTTTGTGCTACACCCCACATGTGCGTGCTCCAGCTCTGAAGGGAGGGACTGCAAGGGAGACTGAGGCACAGATGTATGACATTTCTGTTGCCTCAGAGCCCCTCAGTTCTGGCTGTCCATCAAGTCCTTGGCTGATTGATCTTGTGTGGCCAAGGACCCTGTGGGACACCCATAGAATCTTTTTTTTTTTTTAAAGACTTATTACACATACAGTGTTTTGCCTACGTACCAGAGAGGGAACCAGACTTAACTGTAGATGGTTGTGAGCCACCCTGTGGTTGCTGGGAATTGAACTCAGGACCCCTGGAAGAGCAGTCAGTGCTCTTAACCTCTGAGCCATCTCTCCAGCCCTCACCCACAGAATCTTATAACTGAAGGTGACCTGCTGTTTGTTCTGAGTCTGACTCCATTAAGTAGCAGCCCAAGATGTGGAAGGGATCCCAGAAGGTGACCAAAGGGGCCACAGCACAGGCATGACCCAAACATATGATGAGTTACTTGTAGTGGATGAACTTTGAGCAGTGAGAGACACGAGGTAGCCTTAGTGTTCACTCTGTTTGAAAGCCTCGGGTTTCCAGGAAACCCCGGTGGCCTGGCAATGCTGCAAGGCTCCAACAGGGATGGGTGTAAAGAAGACAAGTCAATGAGTGACCTTCTGTGGAGGACATGTTCCTGGTGTGAGGTGGAGAGTGGCTTCTAGGAGTCTGTGGTGGTGAACTGATCTCATGATGTTGTCATGAAGGTTTTCTATCTAGGGCCTCATATATCACTATCTGTTCATATATTCAATTTTACAATTCCCTAGTCATGTGTATACTCCTTGAGTTACCAGGCCTCGGCCTGCCTTCAAGGAGCTTGTGATTTAGCAGTGAGGGGATTGCCAGTTATTTCAGCCAGGTGATTTCAGGTGTTTGGATAACTCTGGTACCCTTCTACAGACCCAATAATTACGCTCGGTCCTAAGCAAGCTGGAGTGAATGCAGCTTATCTGTGGCTGAAGGGAAGGCAGAATGTCAGTGGGTGAGTCCTACTGGGCTCTGGGACTGAGGGAAATACCAACTGTATGGCAGGCTCTGAACTTAGCTTGTACTTGGGAATTTCTGTCACATCTCACTTATGGGGAAATAGGATGAGAGGGGGTAAAACCCTTTCCTGAACAGAAAGGGGATTTGAACCTGCCACTGTCATATTTGAGAGCCTGGAGCGGACAGGGGACCTGCAGGTTGTTGAGCTATCTTAGGTGACATACTCGCATCTGCAGGCTCCCATAGAACTATGTGAATGTCCTCCTTGTTCTTCCCACATCCTCCCTGGAACACAGTGATTTGTGTCCCCAGATGGACTTTGTCTTCACAGCTCCATGTTGCCTTCATCTACATCTCTACATCTAAGAGAATTTGCATTTGGTACTAAGGATGAGCCAGTGCTCAAGTCTTACTACCAAGAACATCTCCTTCCATCCCTATAGCATCTATTCTCTCCTCCCAGTGGTAGTTTACCTCTGCTCAGGAGAACTGCTTGTGTGGTGTGTGTGTGTGTGTGTGTGTGTGTGTGTGTGTGTGTGTGTGTGTGGGGGTTGAACCCAGGGCCTAACTTGCACATGTTAGGCAAGCACTAAGTTACCCCCAGCCCTTAAATCTGTTTTAAGATAAGGTCGAAGTTGCCCAAGTTTACTTTGACCTTATTCCAAAACCAAGGCAGGCTTTGAACTTGTGATCCTCCTGCCTCAGCCATCTGAATAGCTAAGATTACTAGCCTGCACCACAGGCTTGCTACAGTACACATGTGGAGGTCAGAGGGCAATGTTACGAAGTTGGTTTTCCCCTTCCCCCTTTGTGTGGATTCTGGAAATAAACTCAGGTGGCTAGGCAAGCATCCTCGCAGCTGAGCCACCTCATAGGCCCACAAACTGTTTACTCTTCTCTGGTCCTGGAATATTTTAACCTTCCTGAAAACCAAGTGGTCAATGATCTTACTGAAGCCAATCCTAGTCTAGCCTACCTTGGTTGGTTCAAGGACTAGACATGATCCAAACAGAATATCCCAATTCTTTGTGGATCATAAAGCTGTAAGTGCCAGATTCCAGCTACCAAGTGCCACATGATAGAGCTTGAGAAAATGTGAGCCTGAGGCTACTGCCTGAGACCAGCCCCTCTCTCTCTGTGCTGGCTAGTTTATGTCAACGTGACACAGGCTGAAGTCATTTAAGAGATGGGAGCCTCAAGTGAGAAAAAGCCTCCAGAAGATCAGGCTGTAGAGCAATCTCTAATTAATGATCGATGTGGGAGGGTCCAGTCTACTGTGGGTGGGGCCACCCATGGGTTGGTGGTCCTGGGATTCTATAAGAAAGCAGGCTGAGAAAGCTATGGAAAGCAAGCCAGTAAGCAGAACCCTCTATGGTCTCTGCATCAGCTCCTGCCTCCAGATTCCTCCTCTCTATTTGAGTTCCTGCCCTGACCTCCTTCAGTGATAAACAGTGCTGTGGAATCATAAGCAAACGAACCCTCTCCTCCCCAACTTGACTTTGGTCATGGTGTTTCATCACAGCAATAGAAACCCTAAGACACCCTCTCTGTGGCTGGCTTATGTGGGGCAATGGAGTACCATCCCCATTTACCTTTGAATAATTATCAAGATAATCCAGGAAGGTGCTTTGCAATCAGACAGGACAAAAGAGCTCATGGAGGAAACTAGACTCCTGCTCTATTTCCTTTTCACCCCAGCTTCAGGGAGGACCAACTGTTTCACCTACCTCTTTCTGTATGTGTTCCATGACTCAGGGTGATGCACTTAGCCACCTCTTTCTTGACTTCTAACTTTAGACCAACCTCCAAGGTAAGAAACATGAGAATTTAGCTCACGTATAACCCTACTGTAAGGACTCAGGCATTATGCTGACCTGCCCCTGTCACCTGGCAGAATGCACTCAGGCAGTATCCTGGTCAGCCGAGGGTTCCATGGTTACATAGTCTGCATGCAGGTGTAAAGGACCCCTTTAAAAGACAGACCCCGCCCACTTACACACTCTTTTTCCCTTTCTCTTTCCTGCTGTTCCCCTGGGGCAGACAGGACTTTTCCTATCTCCCTCTTCTCTTTTGTTCTCTATGTCTCTTTGTGTCTGTGTCTCTTTACCTCTCTTCTCATTCCTTCCCCCTCCCTCCCCTTTCTAATAAAACTTATCACTTAAGCTCTGCCTGGCATGTTTGTTCCCCACCTTGGTCAACCTTACCTGCCATGGAATCTGCCGAGGTTCACTACTTGCTTCATTGTAACACCCACTCTGTCCTTCTTTGTTTTTGAGACAGAGTCCCATGCAGCCCGGATGGGCCTTGAACTTGAAATTGAGCTGAGTGGCTCCGAACTCCAGATCCCCTTATCTCTTTCCACTGGGGTCACAGTCACATGCTGCTGCCCCGGTGCTATCATGGTCTTTTTCAGCTTCAGAGTCTGAAGTACACCAGGACCTATACCCTGCTTTCTTTCTTTCCTTTGTTTTGATTCACCTTTAGACATGTTTTTGTTTTAAATCTACCCTGCCCTTTTAGAATAAGAACTATGGACCATTCCCTCCAATGACTCTGCTTAATCATAGCCCACCCTTGTCACCTGTCTCAACCCCCACCCCCCCAAAAAAAGTGGCAGGTCCTGCATTCAAGTCTGAGTTCCTAGTTCCCAGATTTAGAGCCTTTTGCTCCACCAGGCTGCCCCAGTGACACAGATGCAATCTACCAAGGAATACAAGCAAACCCAGTATGCTGTGTTTACTGGTGAGGAATCTGCCCACTCTAGGCCACTTACTCCAGGAGACCAATGAGGAAGTTGAGATCTGAAAGTGCCTATTAAACAGAGGTCAGTGCGTTATAGATGGATTCCAACCAATCAATGCAAAATGAGTGAACTCTAATACCAAGTGGGTGTGGTAGCACATACCTGTAATCCCAGCACTTAGAGGCTATGGCAAGAGGATGGAAAGTTTGAGGCCAGCCTGGGTTACAAAGTGAGA